CCCCAGCTGCACTCACTCAGTAATCACCCTCCCAGCATACTCATCCTCTCACTCATTTATGTCATATGTTGCTTGTACTTCCTGCTTCCTGTGTACTTCCTGTGATTTTACTCCCTTTGTATCTTTATATTGCTCAGTCAGCATTTTTTAAATAAATATTTAGTTTTCTGTTAACGAGTTTTTCTCTGTTTGAGTCTGTGTTTCAGGTTATTTTACTTAAAGCCTTAAGCAAAAGCCCACAGAGATTTAAAGTTTCTACATCTGCTGCTGTCTTAGGTTCGCTCACAGTAACATATTGTGACTATTATTTGGCACACCTCAATAATAGTTGATAGTATTATTATATTATTATCATAATAATAATAGTTGCCTGCATGGACAGATACATTTGGAGCAAAAAATAAAAACAATCTTTTTCGGAAGAGAAATCTCATTCGCAATGTGAAGCATGGAGGGAGAGCCATCATAGTTTGTTAGCTGCTTTCTTCAATCTTAGTAGCAAATGCAACAGCTAGTTGTAGCACTTCTGGTGCAGCCTGATCAGGCAGGGAACCTAACCTAAAATTAACGACGATGGGTTTATAAACTAGTGTTTGCTTGTAGCACCAGAAACTTTTTGAACTCCCAAGGGAGAGCCGGTTTGATGTAACGCTGCTCATAACGTCAAGTCCACGGTCACTAGCCTGGTTATTTTTTAGTTAAAATGTTCTATAACATGAAGTAATCATATGTTTTTAATGCACGTCAGTGTCAGAGACAAGGTGACAGCTGTTTAATGAGCCTACTAGAAGTTCCTGCTGTTAAAGGGAGGCAGCCGCTGAAACCAAAGAGCTACATTTATTTTCTACAGAAAAATATATTTAACAAACTATGGGGTGCTGTTTGTAAAGTTACACAGTCAAAAATTCACAGCAATATTTTTGGTTTATCATTAAAAATGACTGACATTGATTATTTGTTTTATTTTGTTCCAGCATTCAGAATTGTTTTAAAGATGATTAAATGTTTTCTAACAGTTCTAACAATTTTCATGAGGAAAGATGGACTCACTTTGATTGGAGCTCCTTTAGTTTGTGTATTTATTGTGAGAATGCTAATGAAGCATTCACACTATTGGGATCCATTTTTCTTCCATACATTTTTCGGCGTGATTCTCATCTTGCAATTTTCGAGCTATTTCAACAAATCATACGTCAGAACGTTCAGCTCTTTCAGGACAACCCTGCTTCAGCTTTTAGTACTGGTGCACTTTAGCTTTTTGAAAAATTTAGCCTTTTCTGCCACGTTTTTCTCATAGAAAATGAGTTGAGCCCATTTTACCTCCTTCATATCTTTACATCTGTTTACAACCTTTTACTGCTCCTTTCACATTTTGTTCTGCTTTAGCTTCTTTCAGCTTCCTTGTACAAATTTAAACACTTTTCAGCTACTTTCAGCTGTTTTTTTGCTCCTTTCTGCTATATTCTGATAACTACATTTTTGTGCTTCTAACTTCTTTTTGCCAATTTCAGCCTGTTACACTCCTTTCAGCCTATTTCTGCAAGTTTCAGCCTTTTCTACTATTTCAGCTATTATAGTTGTTTTGTGCTGATTTAAGCTTTTTCAGCTAATTCTTGCACTCATTTAAAAATTTTCAGCCTAATTCGGCAAAAATGTGCTCTCTCCACTTCCTTCTTGTAATTTCATTTTCTTTCTGCCTTTTTAGCTACTTTTTCAGCTGTATTTTTCTAATTTCCTCTTTTTTCCATATATTTTCCACTTTTTTTATACTCATTTTTACTTATTTCAATCAAACATGTTCTTTCTACTTTATTATGCTAATTTAAGCTTGTTCTGCCTTTTCAGCTAATTTTTGGAGCATTTCCTGGGTAAGTTCAGCTGTTCTCAGATAAAATCAAGTTTTCCAGGGTGGCTGTGACTGAGTGGTTAGAGCAGTCGTCCTTCAATGCGAGAGTTGGGGGTTCGAATCCAAGGGCAAGACACTGAACCCCTCATAGCCTCTGATGTGTGTCCCATCAGTGTATGAATGTGATAAAGCTCTGATTAGTCTCATTAGAATGATTTGTTCAATTAGCTTTGCAGAGATCTAGTAGAGTGCTGTATGAATGGGTAAATGAGGACACAGATTGTAGTGTAAAGCGCTTTGAGTATCTTGAAATAAGATAGAAAGGTGCTATATAAGTACAGTTCATTTCCATTTATAATTTCTGCTACTTTCAGTCTTATTAAATTCTTTCTGCTAGTTTCAGTTTGCTATGCTCCTTTCAGCTTTTTTTCTGCTAGTTTCAGCTTTTTCTGCTATTTCAGCTAATCTTAGCTGTTGTTGTGCTAAATTTAGCTTTTTCAGCTAATTCCACATTTTAGCTCATTTCAGCT